GTTTTCATAGATCTATTCGATCTACACTATTTTTGAAACTTTAAATTTTATAATTGGAGATCAAAATATATTCGAAGGCAGTCATAAAGATTTCGAGTATTGAAACCATATTTCTTAACACTATTTGAAGGTGCGTTCTACTTTGATTTTTTTTTAGCCTCAAATCTATACAAACCACACTCTTCAGTTATTTCTATTATAAAAACTATTTTTCTTATTGTTATTAGGTGGGGCCAACAAGGAAGGGGGATGTCTCAAATTTCATCTTAAAATGAATTGTAGGAAAAAAAAAAAAAAGTTGATAAAATTGTATTAAGCATGACATTGCGACGTAAGCTATCCTAGTTATGGAGGTAGATCAGATGACAAAAAAATAAAAGTCAATTTTTTATATGTGGGGGGCACGGGCTACATTATGAAGTTTTCAATTTTATATTTGAGATGTTTAGCAAATCCCAATTAATTGAGATAAGACTTGGATGATGATGATTTAAAATGATGTACCAGGACAACCAAATTAAATTTGCAAGATGCTTCAAGACGCATCCTATTAATAGTGGTGCATTAGGCATGAAAGAATACATTAAATTAGTTCCAAACGAAAGAAAGGAGCTGAACTCAACTTCAACCGGAAAAAGTTTGTCTAGCAATGTTAATTTCTATTAAGATGCACCTCAAAAATTTAGCGAAAAAGGTTGTTCCAATGTTGTCAAATCTTCCATTTAATTGACTCGATCATGAAATGTATAGATTCAAAATTTTCAAGTCTTAAAAATAATACATTTTTAAATACATTATTTCAACCGTCTATTTTCAAAATTTTCAAGTGTTCATAAATCTCTCAATTTGCATTATTTTTATGGCTTTGAATTTACAAATCAGGCTTGGGCTTAAGTTGTTAGTAACTAACCTTTGAAAGCGTTATATCTCGAGTTCGATTCCTACCACTAAATTACCTTAAACTAAAATAGATTTCTTAGGTCATCATATGGTTTCCAGCACCAAAACTGTATCTTTCAATGAAGTGACGCCAAAGTCCCGACCTTTTAGGCCAACCCATTGCGCTTTTTCAGTCCTTCCAACAATCCAACAAACAATAGAAAACGCTAAAAACCACGATAAAGTTCAGATATGTCAAGGGACGCACCTATAATAATGAGATAAAGTTTAGATATGTCAAGGGACGCACCTACAATAATGAGTCAACTTTTGAGGGACTTAGATATTAAGAGTGTGTCAACCATTAGAAATCAAGAACCTATGAAAAAATAAAAGAAAATTGATCAAATTATATATTATTTTCAACTATTTAACATTTCATTAATTGTTCTACTGTTCCAAGTCCAAATCATCTATAGCTCCACGGGCATTACAAAATTGAATAGAAACGGATGGATTAAATCCTAAATAGTAATATCTCACATGCATTTTGATAAGTTTCCCAAAATTAAAAATTGAAATTAAATGCATGGATTTGATGAGTTAATGGATTTAAGATATGTTACGAGATCTAAATAGTTGTAGGGCAGACAAGTCAGGTGACTTCAAAAACTCTTCCCCGGAGAAAAACCTACCTCTACAAAGGAGTATTTAGCACAGTTCAAAGGCTTTTTATTTTTTCTTTTTCCTTAACTTGCATAGAGCGTGGAGCATACTTCGGATTTTAGAGATGTGCTTTTGCAAATTTTCTAACTTTTAATGCATTTTTACCAAAATATTGAATTTTAATACTTCCGAGACATTTTCACCTATATTTCACGGTTTTTTTTGGAAGAAACTAGTATTTTTTGTAGTATTGTAGGGGTTAATCTGGTTTTTTTTTTGGGTAGTTCAATAAGGATCCAACCCCAACCCCAACCCCAAGGGTAGGTGGGGATTTCAGCCCCTACTCTTTGGTGAAAATGAGTCGTAATCGAAGGGGCCAGAGATGAAGAGCTCAGCCAATTACGCGTACAGAAAGCTAATATCATAAAGTAGATCCAAACACCAGCACTAATCAAGATAAAAAAGAAACCCTACACATAAAACAGACAAGTCTAGCAGTCTTTAATTTTGCAAGACGACACTAAAAATTTAAGAAAGCAAAAACATCAACTCTTCAGAAAAAAAAAAAAAACATTCAAAATTTACGACACATCCAAACTCTCAGATTTCACATTCGATACCCATAAATAAGAGAAATGATCCTTATAGGATTCTGCACTATAAGACCATTGAATAACCATATATACCACCTCAACATATTATAGTTGGGGATTCTGCAGCATAAGACCATTCAACTATAGTACATATATGCCACAATCAGCTCAGCCATTAGATGTCAAATCCTGTGGATTAGATGCGTCACCCAGTCCAAAAAACTTTCATTGAGTTATGCACCCAATCATTCCCATACCCCCCAGCCACCCGAATTCGCATCTAATGATCAATAAATTTATGCCATCAACATAATAGCATGCATAGAAAGAGAATCGAGTAAAAAATATACAGGACATTACTTTTGGTCCAAGTAAGAGACAACCACCCTTGGCTATTGGATGTAAAAATCAAATGGCCCGGTATGTGCTGTCAAGGGAACTCAACTACTTCATGATACACTCAGTTGTTGGATTCCATATTTTGACATCCTTGTACCAAAATGATAGTTTTAATGTCATCCCAACAATACTTGGGAAGGAAATTTAAATAAAAATTCATTCTCTCCATTCTCTTCACTATCAAAATTTAAAAGGAAAGAAAGTATATAATAAGACCATTTTCCTTTAGTACAAGATCGTATGTGAAATTCAGTAGCTGCAGTTATATAAATAATTATACCCTCAAAGTTTTAAATTTCTATAAGTAATTGTAACCTCAAAGTTCAAAACAAATTTCTCGAAACACACCCCAAAAAAACATCTTACTTCGTGAGACGCCCAAACTATCAGATTTCATATCGGATCTATAAGTAATGGTAACTTCCCTACCATGGTCTCATCATATACAATCCCAAATTTAAAAACAATCTCATTTATTCCATAATGTTACATTTAAATCCAAGATCAAGTTCAAATTTGATATATGTTCATACTTGAGTATTGGAAAAATCAAACCGAAAAGGTTAAACAGACATGGGCTTGGAAACGATTAAGGTAAACCAGCCGGTTCAACCATTCTAACTAAGAAGGCCCGGACGATCGAAGACTTGTTAAAAATTACAAAATATACAAAAAAACCAATCAAATAAAATATTAAATGTAAATTTAAAGAATGGGTAAACAAAACACAACCAAATGAAGTTGAAAAACAATGGGCAAAAATGAATTTTAAAGAATCAATTGGTGCCTAGGGGCCTTTTTGAAGGTTTCAAAAAAGGAAAAAAGTAAAAATAAATATTAATGGCCAAAATAATTTTCAATTTTTGCCATAATGTTTAAAACCAATAAAAATACATTCCAAGCAAAATTCCTTAATTTTTTAGGATTTTATATAACTTTTTATTTATTTTTTAAAAACTACCCAGCCAGACACCAAAACCAGCTGTAACAGATAGACAGGTTAGAATGGCAAAGTTTTCCAGCAATGGTCCACACTCCACCAGACGAATACTTCTCTCCAAGGTTTAATAATCAATTATTGAAATCAAAATCAGCCGATCAGGATAAAAATCGGTCAAGCCAATCTAGATCCCATAAATATCAACAACCAGCCGACTCATGTCAGTGATCTGGATCAAAACCAACCGATGAGGGACCAAGAATAGGCCAAGCTGAATCGCCCGGTTCCCCCATGAACAGGCAACCGGCAAAACTAATTGATTCTATTAGAGAACACATTCAAAGCTTTTTTATTTTTTTTTAAATCATTGAACCAGCATGTCAGCGATCTGAATCAAAACCGAGAATCAGCCAGGCCAATCAAATCCCATAAAATATCAGGAATCACCCACTTCCCCAATGAACTGGCCAATTTGAAACAAGACTAACTGATTCTATCAAAGAACCAATACAAACGGGCTCAACCTTCAAAGCTTTTTGAATTTTTTTTTTAAATCATTAAACCGACCAGTTCGAACTGGTTATGGCCGGTATTCTTATTCTTACATAACCAACCCCACTTAATTTTTTTGGATCACCGATCCACCGAACTGAAGCAAAAAGCACAAGAGAAATCCAGATAAACCAAACAGATCTTCAAACACCTCCATATGTATGTAAAAAATACATAAAGATTATTTTAAAAATTTACCAAAATATCTTATTATTGGGGCATTTGGTGCCAAGAAATTTTGACTTTATTCGAATACTAAGAAACAAGGATAAAATTCATTCAAATCCAAGTAATGCGTTAAAAAGTTAGACTTCCTGTAATATATGTACCTAAGTCACCATTTTTAAATTTCAAAACTAAAACATAATGTGCCTTTCAAAAGAGAATCAAATCATGTCATCTACACAAAGATCGAAGATGGGGTAGAGATGCCTTCACACAAAAACCAAGTGAGGACTTGAGATGATCCCTACCATCCGCTTATAATGATAAAAGGTGCTTAAAATGATACCCAGCACACAATGTCTACTTCCCGAAACAATATATACAACATCCCATAACAATATATATACAAATAGAACAAATCAAAGTCCTACATTTTCGCAATAGTAATAAGCTCGTCTCCAAACAAACAACAAATAATAAGAGCTTCATCTTATCCTATAAAGTTCAAAACATAATAAACAAACAAAAAAGTATGATGCATAAATACATATTACACCTATCACACGCATCCATTAAATGAAAGAAATCCATAGAATGAAAGAAAATAAAAACAAACATAAAGAAACTAATTAACCAGAACTCGAAGTAAAAAAAGTTAGGACTTTTAAAACTAGATGCAATCAGATCATTGTAAACCAAAATTGCATTGACAATGAATGAGAAAGAAATCATAATAACAAGGAAATATAAACCATTATCGAATCATAAGTTAAGCTCAAAAAAATCAAGTAAAATGCAAAGAGAGAGAGAAAGAGAAACATATTGCTCCTTTCATTCACTATGCAGAAACCAAGTTACAGTGAGGTAAAACCGACTAACTATTTGCGCTAATAAAACACCCAAAAAATAGCACCAAATAAGATATCACTTTGTATGTTTCACCAAAAACCCTCATCCCTTACAAATCCCCTGTTTTCTATCCAAAACAGAGCATTGACCAAAACCATCATAACACCGAACAAAACCCTAACAAATCTACTGCAGTTTCACGAAAGAGTTCCAAAACACAGTGGATCACACCATGAACACCGAAAAACCAGAGTATTCATTAAAGATAAAGAAGAAGAGAGACCATGACGATATGTGAGAGAGAGAGAGGTTGGAAAGAGAAGAAGGGTTTACTTCTGAGAGCTAGGACACTCTCTGGCGAAGTGGCCAGGTTCGCCGCAGTTGTAGCAAGATCCACCACCACCACCGCCAGATCTACCACCTCCACCTCCTCCACTTCCTTGATAGCAATCCCTAGCCATATGGCCAGTTTCTCCGCAGCTATAACAAGCTCCACCACCACCACCACCACCACCACCACCACCTTCATAGCCTCCATAACCAGAACCACCGTAGCCACCACCGCCTCTTCCCCTTCCTCCGCCTCCGCCTCCTCCTCTTCCTCCGCCTCCGTTGAAGCCATAGCTTCCCCCTCTTCCTCTTCCACCTCCCCCTCCACTATAGCCGCCATCTCTCTGAGATCCTTGAAGTGAAGCGCCATTAGGGCCCGTAACATCAGTTGCCCTAGGTCTGCCATCGCCTGTGTCCTCAATCTCGAACTCTACAGCCTCACCATCGGCCAAGCTCCTGTAGCCATCGGTCTTGATGCACGACTGGTGCACGAAGAGGTCCTTTCCCCCATCGTCAGGAGTTATGAAACCGAACCCCTTTTGCCCGCTGAACCACTTCACAGTACCAGAAGACCTCATCTTTCTCTCTCTCTAGATTTTACCTCTCTCTCTCTTCTGGTTTTCTTCTTCGAACTTGGGGCGTGAGTCCCACTGCTTGGGGTTTCGGAGGAGGACCCCTGCCGGCCTTTTAAGGGAGGGACGTTTAGGTTTTCCGCGGTTTAACGGCCCTGATTCGAAGGCTTAACGTTGTGGTCGTGTTCCAACCGTTGGATTCAGGAGGCCATTGTTTCCTCTTTTTGATATCGGCGATGAACGGATTGGATTGACTAAGGGAAATATCGAACGGACGTGCGGGGAATGGGGGATATTTCCATTTATCGGACTTGTTCGCAGTAATTATCACCCATATTTAATGCATTTACATTTTTTTTGCTAATTCCCACCTAAAACATGGGTGCTAGATCAAACGTTTGACTTTGTAAGCAAAAGGTTAAAATACTATGAAAATATTAACCATTATATGTAAAATTGGAGGGCTGCATTTATTCAATAGATTGGATTGTTGTATTTATTCCGATCAAACTCAAACTTCAAAAGAAATTTCTCATATGTTATGACATACTCAAGCTATCAGTTATAACTTATAAGTAAGTGTGGCCTCTTATATTAAAGGTAAATAGTATGTTTGTGTACAATCTCAAAAAATACTGAGGCTTTATTAACAAAAAGTAAAATTGTGTTTTCAATCTTAATGAAAATAGCAATTCTGGCATTGGAAAATCTTTGAATCTATTTTTTCCATCTCGACCATTATGGATTTTAAGTCTTAAAAATAATATATATATATATATATAACCATGTGAGACCCTACACACCCATGTGTGTAGGACGGTAAAATAGCACTATTAAATTTGACACAGATCTCTAGAAAAATCAAATCTTACACCCATGTGATAACTTTTATAGATATATGTGCTAAATTTAATGGTGATCCTTTAGGATTCTACACACATGAGTGTGAGATTATTCATATATATATAAATATATACAGGGAGAGAGAGAGAGAGAGAGAGATTTTCGAGCCGTAGAAATCATCACTTTTTAGGGACGTCTAATAAAATTAATTGGTATACAATAAAACTGCACTTTTAGAAAATCATGTTTGTGGTATTTGTATGACCCCAAAAATTGTGTACTCCTTCATCCCAATAATTAACTACGAAAAAATAAACTTCAATTTACACCCTAAAAATCGTCAAAATGAGTTCCCTTCCAATAATAGATCTAGACCATCCATTTAGTGAATCTCATGATCGAAACATTTACAAACTCGAAATTATTTTTGTTTTAACATTACTTACATAATGATAATAAATTCATTTAAAAATTTTGGATAGGGAAAAAATCCTTCTAAAACCTATATCTAAGCATCCTACCAAAATGAACGACTTATTTTACTTGGGCCAAAAAATACTTTCTACGGTATGTTTCCAAATTTTACTTTTTTTGCGATTGTTCATTAGAATGCAAAAACTATATAATTAAAAATTGGTGTCAAATGAATTACCCATTTCATTATATTACTATACAACAGTTGTATAAATCACTCCCAAATTAGAATGATACAAAGTGGTACAATGTAATATATATATAGACCGTCTACTTTCAAGCAATTTTATCAAATTTGTTTTTCTTCGGCCGAAGAGGTTGAAGCCTTTGGATTTTAGGTATAAACCGAAGCGAAGCAAAGCATAGTGTTACTTCGGGCCGCTTAGGTAGATTCGGGTTTGCTTTATATATTTCGGGTCTACTTGAGCCAACAAAGAAATAGGTATAGAAAAGTATTTTTATTTTTCTATTTAAATTTTTTTCCATTTTTTGTATATATTATATATATAAGAGTTATGTTAACTGGAATAGTTTATCATTATACTCAACAAAACTTGGACACTTATATACTTTTATTTTAAACATAGAGGTTTTTTTAGTAAGAATATATTTGGTCATTAGGAGGGTTGTGACGTCATTCACATAAGATGTGACATCACCCACGTGAGTGTCCAAAATTTATTGAGTACAATGATAAATTACTCTATAGTGTGAACACCTTAACATAATCAATAAATATCTAATTCATTTATACTAAAAAAAAAAAAAAAGGTCCGAAGTCTTTCCTTTTACTTCGTTCTTCTCACCAAACCGAATAAGACTCTAAAATGAATCTCACAACATTACTTTCAAGTATTCATGGATCCAAAAGTTATGTGTCAATTTTTTAGTTATAAATTTTATAATTGATGGTGAAAATAAACTTTAGAGTCATCGAAAAATATTCCTTAAGCACGTAAATGTTTTCTGAATAAGATTTTGATATGAGGCTTTACCTTTTCTTATGAGACCTCAGCTTTATGGAAACCACGTCCTTCTTATTTTTGGGTAAGTAACCGCGTCCTTTGCTTCGCGCCTGTGTATCCCCTATAGGCTAGCAAACACACAATCGTGCAAAAGCAAGAAATTATCGTGGGAAAGCACACTATTAGGGTTACAAGATTGTTACAGTTGATGTTAACCGTTAGATATAGGATCGAGTGGTCCGGAGTGTACTTGATAATCACACTCAAAAGTCCTATTAAATTTTCTTAAGCTTTATGACATGTCCCTTGCCGCGTGATTTTCCTCATATAATAAGTCGTTTTATAGTACGTGACCCCAAATATTATAACTTAATCTTATAGCATGTGATCTCAAGGTATCAAATCTAGACAAGAAAATAAAAAGTATACATGCTGTGCATATATATATATATATACATATAAATCTGCCTTTGCGACATCAGTATGATGGTGACATGAACAGTTCCTTCTTCTTCGAAGCCGGAAGACTCAAAGTCGAAATGAACCAGCGAACTAACACACTATGTAGACTGGTTTCGAAAACAAAGCCATGGAAGACTCGAAGTCGAAAGGAACCAGCTGCAAATGCATGAATCAAGAATTTAGGGGGACACACCCCCAGCCAGGTTGACTCGACATGGGATCGTTGGGTCTAGAAATCCGGAATCGAGTGTGTTAACGGTATCTATTCAGCCGTAAGCCATTAGGGTTGGGATCAATTCTAGGTCGAGCTTCACCTTACCTATGTGTACTACATTTAACTGGACGATAAAACCCTCTTTAGGGCGTCGTTTGTGTCAAGGTCCATTAGACCTTTACCAAACTGGGTTTGAATCACACTTGGACCCCTACGGGGTCAAAAGTTCAGGAACTGCTTTATTAACTTGCTCGTTGCTACCCCGGTGAAAGAGTGTGGAAAGATGCCCCACTGTAAATTGAGGGATAAAGGCAAAAGTTTATAAAAGGTTGCGACCTTATCTTGTAGGATTAATGTGTACCTCAAAAATCTAGTGGACAAGAATTTTCAAAGTTGGAAAAACTTCTAATTGATCATTTCAACCTCGAGATGTATGGATATAAAGAAAAAAAAATTTGAATTTTAAAAATAAGGTATCGTGTAACGAGTTATCTAGATTGTCTATTTTTTCAATATTTTCAAGTGTTTATAAATCTGCTAAATCTTCACCATTTTTTAAATTTTAAATTTCATAATAAGGGTTTAATATAGATTTTTATGTCATCATAAGATTTTGTCACTGAAACTACTTCTTCTCACAAAATATAAAGGTATGCCTTATACAAACCTTGCCCTAAAAAAGGAAAAAGTTTATATAAAGTTGTGACCTTATATTGTAGATGTGAGGTGCACCTCAAAAATCCAGTAGACAAGAATTTTCCAAAGTTGGAAAAGCTTCCAAGGTGCACCTCAAAAATCCAGTAGACAAGAATTTTCTAGAGTTGGAAAAACTTCCAATTGATCATTTCAACCTTGAGATGTATAGATATATTAAAAAAAAAAAAGGACTTTTGAATTCTAAAAATAGGGTATCTTGTAATGAGTTATCTGAACCGTCTATTTTTCAGGATTTTCAAGTGTTTATAAATCTAAAAATAAATTTCAAGATTTTCAAGTGTTTGTAATGAGTTATTTGCACCATTTTTGAAATTTTAAATTTCATAATAAAGGTTTAACATAGATTTTTAAGTTATCACAATATTTTGACACCGCAACTACTTCTTCTCACATATGCCTTGGGGCAATGATTTTATGCAACGGTTGTATCATAGTATAATGCAACTACACTTTTAGAAAAACCATGTTTATGGTATTTGTATGACCCAAAATTTTGCACACATACTGTCTTTATCTCAATAATAAATCCCCAAAAAAAATTCAATTTAACCCCTAGATATGGTCAAGATTAGTCCCCTTCAACAATGAATCTAGGCTAGTCATTTGGTGAATTTCAAGATCTTAGCCGTTACAAACTCAAAATCATTTTTCTCTTTTTAAAATTGTTCATCTAATGATAATAAATCCATCTAAAAAAAAAGGAAAATAAAAAATCCCTCTAAGGCCTAGATCTAAGCATTTTATCAAAATGGACAGCCTATGTTAATTGAGTTAAAAAATATTTTCTAGATTCCATTTTCAATTTTTTTTTTTTATGATTGTTCATTAGAAAGAAAAGAGTGTATATTTCAAAATTTGGATAAAACAAATGACCTTAACATAACTTTAAAAATTATTCCATTATACTATAATACAACATCTAAGATGGGCATCTCATACAAAACCCACCCAAATTGAAAACGGGAGAGATGCATATGACGCCCCACTATACATGGAAAGACCAAAAGTGAATGATAACTTCTTCTTTCTTTTTTTTTATTTATCTCTCTTATGTAAATCCCAAGTATGGATTAACTATTTGTATAACTTGGCTTTGCTATTTATTAAATTTATTATCATATACTACTTAAAAAATAATAATAATAAAAATAATAACAATAACAACAATATTATTGTTATATGAACAAGCCTTATATGCATTGGGGGATACATTCCTACATTTGCATCCCCGGAAGCATAACCATCCTTCCAAAGAGGATGTCAATGATGGCTCCTCCAAAAAATAATAAATAAATAAATTAAAGAATCAACAACTTGAATATTTCCTTTAGAGTTATCAAATTTAGTTTTTAATTTTTTATTTTTTAACACATGAATGGTGTCCATGTTAGAGATTACATATTCCTTAAAAATTAGGGCAAATTT